CACACACACACACACACACACACACACACACACACACACACACACACGAAGTCAACATAAAATTGTGTTCCTCATCTTTTAGTATGTGTACTCACTCGTAAGTACACTTGGATTTATCACTTTTTTTAGCGTGAACTTACTATTCTAAACCTGCTTAGAATTAGTACATAGCATGGAATTGGGACACCTTGTAAAATACAGACATGCCACATGATCAGTTACAATGCAAAATGATGACTCGTGACGTAAATCTCAATGTACTTCTCACTGGAGTAAAATATAGGCTGTTGTATTAAGTGGTGATCGAAACAGTTATTTCAGACACAGAAGGAGAGAAGTGGAGAGAGAGGAGAGGTAAGACGAATAAAGCGCTGACATCCCAGAGTGAGGTACTGAGATGAGGCGCGTAAAGCGAAAAGTGGTTATCTCAGGGTGCGAAGGTGAGAAAAACGGTGAGAGACAGAAACGCCTGCTGTGAGCCCATGTCATCCCATCTGAGCTATCCAACAGAGAGAATACCAGTAGGAATTCAGAGCATGTGTGCACTCTAAACTCTCATCTTATTCCTACACCACTCCAGTAAATAGATATGACCCAGTGAACGCAAGACGCCCGAGGCTACTTACCGTTAACTCCAAACAGAACACAAGAACAAACACTTTCAAGTTTCACAAAAAACAGGAGCGCAATTCTCTGCGGTTTGTAGAGCCGACTCCTCTCCGACCATCATCTTCCTAACAGATCGTTACAAGTGTTTAACACACAGAACCACACCATTCCTTTAAGTCCGATACTCATTTAAATAACGCCCCATTTCTGCGTTTTCTTTTTTTACCCGTTGCTCCAGAACTCCACTGGAAACCTGGCACACCCTCTTAAAATGCTCTTTTATTTTCCTGTAACGACAGAACTGACGCTCTGATGAATCACATGTTTACATCGTTTAAGTATATTTAACAGCACCTCAATCTCACTGCTGCTGAACTTCTTCTCCTTACGGCCAGAGTGTTTGCACACGGCACCACACGTGACCTTATATGGCGCTTAGGGGGCGTTGCCTAGGTTAATAACGTACAATCGGCCAGCACACCTGGTTAAAAGCAGATTTGGATGGTTGGTAAAGGTTTGGCGCTGGATATGATTTCTCAAATTTCTTCTCCTAATAGCAAATTAAAAGAAAATGTGTTATTTACTTTTAGTTTCATGTAGATCAGGGGTGTCCAAACCTTTTTCAAAGAGGGCCAGATTTGATAATATGAAAATGCCCAAGGACCAACAGTCCCTGTTGACATTATTTTAAACAATACAAGTAGCCTATACATACATTGTTATT